TTTTTTATACCTGAGAATGAGTGTGTTGAGCTTGTACATCTTGTTGTCTTGCCCATCTCCCAGACCGTCTCATATAAAATTCTTGCTGTGGGAATCCACCTCCAAAGAACATACTAAACAATTCTTCTGCTGTAATATCAGCTAAAAAGATTTATTTAATTAGTGCATCTTAATAAGCAATCATAAAAATGTATAATGCTATGTAATTGTTATAAAAAAATAAACATATTGTAATAATACTTTCAAATCCTCTTGTATAATTATGTGAATGATTTTGATGGGTTTGAGCACTTTGCATTCTTTCCTCCTCAGGGCCATACATATCATACTGCTTTCTTTTTTCCACATCAGTAAGTATAGCAACAGCATTTCCAATGGCTGTATACAATATAAATTGCAATACATTATACCTTGACATAATAAATTTATTATAAATACATTTTAATTAACATTTACCTTTAAAGGCTTCAGCAGCACCTGGAGCTTTATTTTTATCTGGATGTAATTGAAGGGCTAGTTTTTTATATGTTTTTTTAATCTCACTATCAGTTGCATCTTTGCTTACCCCCAAGATTTCATAATAATCTTTACATTTCTTGATTCTATAACCAAATGAGTTATACCCGTATTGATAACGATAAAAAATAGTACAATAATGAAAGATAATACAATAAAATATATAAATGCATAAATGTAATAGAATCAAAATAAATAACACATTTCATTGTTTCATTTAGACATTTCATTCAAATAATTTTAATACACTCCAAATTTGATGCAATGTAGGTACCTTTTAACATGTTCAAGCTGTTCCTTTGTATAATCACTACAAGCTTGAGTATATATGGATTCTTTAGGTGCAGCTTGACGTTTCCTAACTGTAGGTTCAGATTCAGACTTTTGATTTTGTTTTGACATCATTATAACTTTTGCTAATACATCTGTGAATATATACTAAATTACAAGATATTCTTTCTGCTTACTCATATTAATTTGTGTCTTAAAGGAAATTTAGGTACATCATTTAATGACAAACAGAAAACCAAATAAAAAAATTTGATTTTGCTATAATTATAGAAAGTACTAAATGGTTTCTATAATTAAAAAAAAAATTAAATAATAACATTAAAGTAATTTCTGAAAAATTAGTAACACTGCTGTATAACTTGATTTTAGAAATTGAAAATACGGTAGAGATTCGTGTAAAAATGACGATGACAACTTAATTATTGAATGTAAATTACATAAAAAAATAGGTAAAAATCAATTAACATTCTTTACACAGGCTGACGTGGATTTTTGTCAGCTTACCTTCTGCTTCTTTTGTTGGATAAAGTTTCTGTGCTTTACGAACAAATTTTTCCGCCTCCTCGTATTTCTTTTCCCGTAGATATAGTTCTGCGAGTTCCATACACCGTTCTGCCTCATCTTTATTACTATCCATGATCTTTCTTAGAAATTGAATTAAACTTTATCTTACCACAATGACAGAGCAGAATAATAAATAAATTTAATCATACACTAATTCTCCGCCATAGCAATTTAATAAGTTGCGTCATGAACACGTTACAACGTAGAGCATTCTACTACGTGTGAATGACGACAGGTATCATAGGCGCTACTTATGATATACTGATTATTACCTTTGTTTATAAATTTAAATAATTTAATTTTAATACCAAATAATTAAAAATCATATAATTGAAAATAATTTTGTTATAACATAAGGCGAATTATAAAAAAATAAATAAAAGTATATTCAGTAGTTTTTAAATTTTATTACTATCTTTCTAGGAATTAAATGAAATAATTATTTTGTATATAATGAAAGTTAATTATCGTATGATAAATAAATTCTTATTCACATATAAAAATAAAAGCTTGTTAAAAAAAATAAATATGATTGCATATGTCAGATAAAAATATTGCCGTGAAAATAGTATCGAATTCTAGAATGGATCTGTTTTCAAGTTAAGAATTGAAAATATTTGTATACTATAAACTAATGTTATACAGTGAAATACTAATAAAAAATTATTTGTGATATAGTTTCTAAATATTTATAATATATTCTAAATAAAGGCAAGTATAATATTTTCAATTTATTAAATAATATTTTGTTTACAATGCATTTAAAATGTAAGGTTATTTTTCAATATATATTGTATCCTTCTATGTTTAAATTTATGAATATTGATTAGTTTATTAAAGTAATACAATGTAATATATGTATAATGTAATATACACATTTTAATATTTTTATAGAAAATGCAAAGTATAAAACAATGTGTACAAAAATTGGTATCAAGCAAAATATTTAATCCAAATAATCCAAATTACTCATGTAATATACAAAGATCATATTATTATTTTAAAGATGAAGGTGAGAATAAGAAAGAGGGTTTTCTTAAGTATAATTCAGTTGTTTTTCCTCCACAAAAACCAGGTGAAGAAAAAAGACCAGGCGTAAGTTTTATTTTATATTATAAAAATGGTTATATGTTATTAATTAAAACAATTATTTTATATATTCTGTAATAATGATATTTTCTAGTATGTCTGTCATGTAAAAGAGAATATAAAATATAGTCCATTAAAACTGTGGTACATTGCATGTTTTGTGAGGGGTATGACTGCAGATGAAGCTGTTAAACAATTAAGTTTTTTAAAGAAAAAAGGTGCAGCTATAGTAAAAGAGGTTATTTTAGAAGCACAGTGTATGGCTGTAGAGGAGCATAATATTGAATTCAAGAGTAATCTATGGGTTGGTAAGTATATTGATTACAAAATATTTCAACAGTATCATAACATTTTTATTTTACCTTTTAGCTGAATCTTTTGCAACAAAAGGTACAGTAATAAAAGGAATACGACGTCATGCTAGGGGAAAACCTGGGCTAATACATTATAGATATTCTAATTACTTTGTGCGTTTAGAAGAAGGAAAACCACCTAAACATTATTATGAGCCTGGACCTAAAACTGGTGAAGAAATGTTGAAAGAATGGATGGACCAAATGCAGAGGCGTAAAATACATGGTTCATTGTAAAATATACATAAATATATATACAAATAAATAAATAATAATATATTACTATTTTGTTTTCTACATTACCCTCTGAACGAAATTTAGAATTGATTTTATTATTTTTAAAAACAATTTAATGTGTTAGAATTAGAATTTATTTAGAAATTAATTAATGCATAATGACATAAGTATAGCAACCAGATATACAATTTATTTTACAATTTCAATTTTGTTCTTCTCCAGTGACGTCGTTTTGCATTATACCTAAAAATATATATTACTATAATTAAAAAGTAATATTAGTACACACATGGTACAAATATTTTTACAAAAATTTTATATTTTTTGTAAACAATTATACAATCTTTAATCTTTTAATGATTTACGACGACAAAATATTTTGAATACAATATGAAAAATATGATTTACTACTTTAATAACTTTTACCTGATAGTATTGCCAGTACGCATTCTGACCCATTGAGGAATTGGCCTATTTTGCTTTAACTTTTTAGCAAGCTTTCGCTTGATAATAAATGTTTTGTGAGCCGACTGAAAGAAATTATAAAATTTGTATATATTTTAAGTTTAAATTTTTAATAATTATTTAAACATTATTAATAGGATGTTGAAAAGATTATTAGATATCACAATATAAGCCAAGACTTACCATCTTAATCGAACAACACGTGATTAAATGGTCGACAAGATTACAGAGTATTTTTGAACAGGATTCCCACCATACAAAATGTTACTATATATAAGTTACTATATGAAAAATAAATACTAACTATGAGACTTTCATATAAAGAAAATATATATACATATATTTTTTTTAATTTATTGCAATTATTGTATTGATGAAGAATTTCCATATTTAACATTAAATTATTTTAATAATATTATTTTTTTATTAATATTAAAATTTACGTGACATAATTCATCAAGGTTTATTTTTAAAATCATCAGTGGTTTAGCTCAATTTTTAAATTTAATACAAAAATTGACACAAAACTTTTATTTTCATGATATACTTATAAAAAATATTTATTAAAATACATCTGTATATACTTATTCTAATTTTAATAAGTGCGATATTAAATTCAACTCCCCTAAGTTAAATACTAAGTTAAATATTTAATAGTTATACCAAAACATTTATATTACGTCATAATTCGACAATTTTTTCTTTTTTTTAACGGTTACGTATTATTTACATGTATTATAAAGACAAGTATTTATTATTATATCTTAACTGCAGAACTTTGGACTTTATAGATACGAAGTTACACGTTTCGTTTTGTTAATTAAGAAACATAAGTTGAAAGTTATAGTTATAAAAAATGTTCGCTACTTGCTTCAGAACTCTTCGAATTGGAAACAAAGTAAGTATTAAGAGATTCACTTTTGTTTGACTTTTATTTGTTTTAATTATTAATCAATGGATTGATATCAATCAATTTTTGAATAAAAAGAAAAAAACAGTAATTTCTACCATCTTTTATATTTTGAAAATATTTTTTATTTTATAACGCATTTTCATTAAAATTACATAAAAGCAAGAAAGATATTCTAATAATATTGTACATTATTTAATTTTTTTTTTTAAAAAGAATGAAATATTTAATTAAATTGTCTATTATTTTAGTATGGCTTATTGGCACGCTATGAATCTACATTAGTTATTGCAGAACATAATAATGAATCATTATCACCTATCACTTGTAATACACTAAGTGCAGCAAAGAAAATTGGTGGTGACATAACAGTCTTAGTTGCTGGTACCAAATGTGATACAGTAGTACAAAGTATCAATAAAGTTAATGGTGTGACTAAAGTTTTGGTAGCAGACAATGATGCCTTTAAAGGATTTCTTCCAGAAACATTAACTCCTGCTATTCTTGCGATTCAGAATGAACATAAATTTACACATATTTTAACTGGTGCTACTGCTTTTGGTAAAGCATTATTACCAAGAGTAAGTATATATAGGTATAAAGCTTATTTTTGATTTATATATAATTTACATTTTTCAAGGTTGCAGCTAAATTAGATGTATCTCCAGTAAGTGATATTATTGATATTAAAGCAGCTGATACATTTGTCCGTACTATTTATGCAGGAAATGCAATTCAAACTTTAAAATGCAAAGACAACATAAAAGTAATTTCGGTTAGAGGCACTGCATTTGAAGCAGTATCTTTGGAAGGTGGTAATGCAAAATGTGAAGTAGTACCAGCTGGTGATTATAAATCACAATTAATATCATTTGTTAAACAAGATTTGACTAAATCTGATAGGCCGGAATTAACATCTGCAAAGATTGTTGTATCTGGAGGCAGAGGAATGAAGTCTGGTGACAATTTCAAATTATTATATAGTTTGGCAGATAAACTTAATGCTGCAGTTGGTGCATCTCGTGCTGCTGTTGATGCTGGTTTTGTGTCTAATGATTTACAAGTGGGACAGACTGGAAAAATTGTTGCTCCAGTAAATTTAATCACTAGTTACTATCATTATAATCATTAAAAGATTATGTTCTAATTCATACTTTCCAGGATTTATACATTGCTGTTGGTATCTCTGGAGCAATTCAGCATCTTGCTGGTATGAAAGACTCAAAAACAATTGTTGCAATTAATAAGGATCCAGAAGCACCAATCTTCCAAGTAGCTGATTATGGCTTGGTTGCTGATTTGTTTAAGGCTGTCCCTGAACTTACAGAAAAATTGTAAATCAATAAAATTATAAATTTTATAAATATTTCTATTGAAAACATTTATATATAATTATCTATACAGAAATATATGTACACTAAATATTTATAGAAAATATTAAATTTTTATATGATTTGAAATTTATAATTCAATTATTTATTCTAATTCTGCATTCATCTTTTCTATATAAAATAACTGTAATTTAAATTTTATTGTTTACAGTATGAAATATGATGTAATAAAATCTTTTAGTAAATTTTATATAATATATATTATTATGCGCATAAATCATATTTCGTGTACGAAAAAGTGAAATTTTTGCAGAATTTATAGACAAATATGTATTTAAAGCAATAATTTTGATAATGTTAATTTTCGACTTAAGCGCCACAGTGAATGTCTATCCATTTGTACTTTAGTTATATATGTAACATATGAAACCGCTGCCATCTTTGTCGTTTCTTGGCGTGGTGCATGGCCGGCTAGATTACCGATTTTTAAGTATATGATCATATTTATGTGTCTGTGTCTTTAGATGTGGAAATTCGATAATAAGTTTATCATGAGTATGGACAGTATCGAAAAATTGTACAAAAATTTTGGCATTTTGGCTGATGCCAAAGACAAATTGGCTGAGGTAATTTACAAATTTGGTTATAGGGAATAACCACGTTTACTTAATTTTAGCTTTCACAATTTCATTTATTTATAAGCATAACATGCATATTCTACTCTATTCCTCTATTTTTAAAATTTCAAATATTGTACAAACTTCAAATTAAACGACGCTTTTGCCATTGGAATGACTCACTACCGTACATAAATAATTAAACGGAGAAAGCGGTAAATATCATTGGACTTAAAAGTTTTGTTTGTACATTACAGCATGAGAAAGAATACTTAGAAATTTTAACAGCAGTGAAAGGATCACCTAAAGAAAAACGATTAGCATCACAATTCATTGCAAGGTTTTTTAAGTATTTTCCAAAATTAGCTGATCAAGCTATAGATGCTCATTTAGACCTCTGTGAAGATGAGGATATGGCTGTAAGTTCTATTGCTTATACTATTTGATATGAATATGACTGTTATAAATATACATACATATTATAAATAATACAATTATGAGAATTTATTTGCAGATAAGGAAACAGGCAATTAAAGACTTACCTGCATTATGTAAAGACAACAAAGAACATACAGCTAGAATTGCAGATATTTTAGCTCAGTTACTTCAAGCTCAAGATCCGTCAGAATTAGCTGTAGTTCATAACAGTGTTATGTCTCTTATGAAAAGTGATCCAAGAGGTATTAAATTATGACATAAATTATATGATATAATGAAGTGTTAACAATATGCAATATATTCTTTTCTCAAGGTACAATAAGTGGATTTTTCAGTCAAATTATTAATGGTGATGATGGAACACGTGAGCGTTGCATTAAGTTCCTAGCAACAAAACTAAAAGCAATAGGTCATGACATTATTACTAAAGAACCAGAGGATCTTTTAATTTCAGAATGCAAGAAAGTGTTACAAGTATGATGTTATATGATAACAATAATATTTAGAAATTACTATTTATGTGATTTTTATAATGCTTCCATTTCCATAGGATGTTACTGCTAGCGAGTTCCATAGTATTATGGAAGTTCTTGCATGGACTAGACTAGGCTCAACAGTTAGTGGACAGCAAGAATTGGTAGATATTACAGTTGAACAGGCAGAGCTATCTGAGCCGTTCAAGCATACTAATGTTGAACAATGGAATAGACTTGTACAATGTATTAAACATGCACTTCCATTTTTTAGTGTAAGTAAATTTCATATATATTTTTATGTTACACTATATTTATTAATGAAATGGTATATGGTATATATGAAATGGTGTTTATGAATAATCTATATTTATGTTTACAGTCTCAAATAGACTCATCACGATTTGTTTCTTACATTTGTATGCAAGTTCTACCACATTTTTCTTTAATTACTTTACCTGATGGAAGAGATGTACAGTTGGAATTATTAAAGCTTCTTGCTGAATTAGCAGTATTTTGTGGTATAATTGATAAACCAGAGGAAAAAGTACAACAACTTTATAATATTCTTATTGTAAGTAATACTATTATTTAAGGCAAAATATATGTATTTAATACAGGAAATATTAATAGTATTTTAATATTTATAGACATATATGCCACTACCTCCAGTCATAGAAATAACTGAGGTACCAAAATTACAATTTAGTCACGTTGAGTGTCTCATGTATGCTTTTCATAAATTATGCAAACAAACACCAGAATTTTTAACAAAGGATCCAGAACAACTCAAGGAATTTAGACTAAGATTACAGTATTTTGCACGTGGCATTCAAGGTTACATAAAAAAATTACGGGAGGCAATTAGTGGGAAATCAGAAGAGGAATTGAAGTCAGAGGAAAATCAGTTAAAAGTTGTTGCTTTGAAAACCACAAATAATATCAATACTTTAATCAAAGATCTGTTTCATTCACCACCAAGTTTTAAAAGTGTTATACATCTGTCATGGAAAACAACAGCTAATGATAAAAAGGTTTATATCAAATTAATATTAATATTTTCAGAAATGTGTCATATTGAATATCATATTGTATTTGTTATGTTATTTTAGAATGAAAAGCATTCATCTGCACAGAGGAGACATACGCCAATTACATTTGGAAATGATAGCAATTCGAATAAACGGAGTAAAGAGGATAAAAGTAAAAGAGAATTATATACTCCCCCTAGTGGAAAATACAGTTCAAACATATCATCAAATTATGGTAATTAGAGATGTATTTATTATCTCAAAAATGTTAATATAAAATAATATTAAGTTTACTTGTATATTTTGTTTTTCTTTTTTTTTGTTACAGGTCGAGGTAGATTTAGAGGAAATAGGTCAGGTGGTCGTGGTGGTTATAGACCAAGAGGTCGTGGAACGTGGAAAAAGAATTTCTACTAACTTTCTGATTGCTTAAATCGTTAAAAAGCATGTAATGGTAAAAGCTGCAATAATATAAAAGACTATACCAGGCCTGTAAAATGTACATATAAAGATGAAGAATGTAAAAGTGATTATTTACAGAAAGTGCTTTTTTAAGAGAAGTGACAAAGGAAATACAACATTTTTGTTCTATAAATCTTAGTGTAAAGAAAGTGTTCTTTTGTGAAAGCTTTAAGTATATATACAAGTTTCAAATATAAAATTGTAAGAATCAATTGTTTACTAAACACAGTGGTAATCATTATCGTTATGAAATATTGACATTTGAAGAAGAAAACATTAGTGTGAAATATTATGCTAATGGTGTTATAAGGACTTTTTTTTTTATATAAACGTTAAACAAATGGAAAATACAATTTGGAAAAACCTGAGTTTGGAACAAGTGAACAATTATGTGGGAAGAAGTGAGGAGAATGACATCATAGATTTCAAGATGTGTTTATCATAAAACTATTAATCAGGTACCTTAACAGGCAATATAACATAAATAATATGATGAAGAGAAAATGGTGTGGGGACACAGTACGTGATTCATTCAAAATAGTCGAAGAAACATCAGATGTCACAACAAAAAATTCCACCTATTTGATACAGAATATTTACAAATTCATACTGTATAATGACTGGTTTGTGCTATGATATGGACACTGGTGTTACACGTATTTGCAAAAGACAGACAATTTTTCTCTTCCACTACGATTTTGGATGTTAAAATAGTATCAAAATGTATACCCATATCTCCTAGTTCTTCCTATTCCTCTTCCTAGATCACATCTTATTTCTTTTGTCAACAGGGAGTAAAGACCAAAGTAACCAGAGGGACATCGGACGAAGTATCCAATTTTGGAAGAATGATGAAATCAAAGAAACTTTAAGACATTTCTTGTTTTTTATTCTTTTCATTATAAACTAATTGTATTTATAGATTTATATGTTTTCTACTTATTAGCACTATGTTTATATCGATAAAAAAGAAATTGTCATATCCTTTTCTCAAGCAGACAGATAATTAATGATCTCTAATTCATATAATTGACTTTAAGGACAAGAACAATATAATCAAAAAATCATAAAGATTAGTATAAAATTATCGCAAATTATTCGCTAGTTATTATAAATGAAAAACATGATTTTGTAAAGCAAAAAGTTTCTTTGATTACATACCAATGAAGATGTAATTTATTGCATACATTTCTTTTTACAGATGCTGCATCATGATTGTGGAGCAATGGATGACAAAGCACAGCAAAAATAATCGTTTTTTGATTACAGATTATAGGTCCATGAAGGAAGCTCATAAGGAAAAACTGATATAATTTCTTTTCAGGAGCTGAGATGCAATTGTATATTGTCTTTTATTTATATGTTGATGGTAGCTGTTTTGTAAGGTGAGTTTAAAAACATATTGTGTCCTTTTCCTATCCACCATTGAATAAAAATTGTGTAATACTAATAATAATAATTCATGAATATCTTATCATTTAATTTAATAAATACTATTGCATAATATATGTTGTATTCTTTATGCCCAATATTGAGTGCCGCTACACAGCTGATTAAAATTATTTATAAAAAACTTATAGTTATTAAACATCTATATTTGTTTTAATGAATATTTAATACAAATATTTCATAAGTTGTCAATTATATAATTATATAAAAATTTGCACATATGTATTAATATATTATAACATTTTGGAAATATTATTTCTGTTGATTATAATTTAAAAATATGTAAACATTACTTTAGCAAACTTATTGCAATATTATTAGAAAAATAAAAGGCTTGATTTAAACTGTATCATGTCTTTTTAATATAGTATAATGCTTATGTGAAACAAATAAATTGAATAAACTGTTTCCAGCCATTTAATAAATAAACTATACTTCTAGAACTATTATCTTTACAATGTATCTTACAGTTATAATTACAATGATTTTTACAGCATGTCATTGAAAAAGAAAATAGGTAAATATTTTATTATTCAGTACAGTCCATTTGTTGAGATCATATCATCTATTGTTTTGCACATAATACGATCACTTGGACTACATGGATCTGGAGTTTGCTGTTCAGAACCTAAATTATCAACTGATTCCATAGCATCCGTATTTACTGCTAAATTAGAATCCAGTTCCGATGTATCTGGTAACATTTGCAATGCATGTTGTAAAATTTCCTGGACCTATAAAAAATATTGTGACAGTATTAATTAAGCATTGCACCGCCAAATATATAAAATACTAAAACATGTAGATTGTACCCTTTCTAAATGTTTTTGGAACCTAAGTGCAGTTTCAATACGTTGTCTACGCTGTAATTCCATCATTACTCTTAGCGTTTCTCTGGCTTGATGTGGTCTAAACTCATTTAGCAGGTGGTGAATGTGAATAAATAACAAACTAAGATCTTCCACCTATAAGCAATAAGAAAAGAGAAAAAAAGCTATTTATATTTGTATTACATACCGAAACACCACATTAGATATTTACCTTTTCTGCTCGTCTTGGACTGTCAGGACACTGTACGAGCAAATCTATCAAATCCAAGAAGTTAACAAGCAATGAGTGATTCAATTTTTTTAACTCCCGTCGTCGATCGAAATGCTGAGGGTATAACCTTTTAATTCCTTGAGCTTCGAGAGGTCTAATAATTGTATCATCTGCATTAAATACATTTCCAAACATCGTATAAGTATCGTGTATTGGCGGTGGTGGTCGTGGAGCTCTGCCTCGGCGAACATTTTCGTCTGTATACAAATTAATATACTGAACAGGAGGTAAAGGAAGCGAACTGACTTGTATCGCCTCTGGTGCTGCCATTTTTGATGTCCAATATAGGTGCTCTTAAAAAAAAAAATTAAGAGCGGTCTCACTTAAAATAGAAGCTTTTTAAAAAATACACAATAGGTTAGGTTTAATTATAAGAAACACTGTTGTCAAACTGAACGAAACATCGAAGTTAGTGCGCAGGTCCGTAATTTCGCGCGTAGTCATCACTTTTTTTTACAATTTAGATTCTGCTTATTTAATATTTATAACAACAAAAAATAATAATTTATAGTAATATTATAAAAACAATGTTTGTAGATTGCAAAACTGAGTCACACAATTTAGATTCACACTTGATATATGAATACTATATATTAGGTTACATTAATGTGATTCCACAACGTTCTTAATATATTTATCTATCAATAGTTCTTTTTTAATAAACATAAGATTAGTTAGAATGTTTCTATACACCTTTCGCGCACTTTTCACCACGAATTAATGAGAGCTAAATATCGTGCAACTAAAACAAAACAACATGTAACGTAGCCTTCGAATCCGCCATCTTGTTTTTTTAAAATGAGTCAACAGGTATTCTCTGTTGGCCAGTTAATACGTTAATGCCAGTAGGACGTCGAACCCAGATTGGGGATTTTCGTTGTTTAACTAGCAAAACGAAAGGGTGGACCTGTAGATATTGTTTATTTTTTGTGTAGAAAATCATTCTTACGGTGCTGTGATATTTCGGATAAATGCTTTACTAACGTAGTGAGGTATTTCCTGCTATCTCGTGAATTTCCAACGTCTTCGTTTGACAGATTGTCGGTGTGTGTATGCGTTCGTTCCACGTGAATTCTTTGTTTGGGCACCGGTCATGTTTCTGACAAGTATTGAAATTGCGAGGTGGTAGTAGTACCCTAGTGCATGGTAAGTCGATTTTCTGTTATGAATTTCATGCGTATCAATGTTATTCCAACTTAACTTTCACATAGAAATATTCATATAGCCGAGTGTCAGGATAACCACAAACTATCGCGTTGTCGTTGATTCTACTGTTCTGTTATTTTTGATAATTTCGAAAGGTATGACTTTGTGATTATTCTCATTTATAATTAAACAGTTACGATGTGATACAGGTATTTCGAAAAATTCTAAACTATGACCAAAACAAAGAACAGAATTTGATTCAGAATTTGTGCATGGTTTATATACAGGGTGGCCCATATAACTGACACCGGTTCAACATCTAAAAAATTACGCGATAGATTTTAATTGTTTTGGTTTGAAATTTTATGGAGTTCAGAGTTTTTTTAATATGTGTTCGGATTATTTGTCATCGATTTTTCGTAGAAAACGAAACAAGGATTAACATAAAAAATACAAATGAAAATTCAAGTAATACGAAATATGTTCAAATTTATGTTATAAGTAATTTTTATCTGGAATATCTTATCTACAGATCATTGTTTCGAACGTTATAAGCGTTCGAAAATTGTCGTAAAACAGAGTGAGTGCGAAAGTACAAGATGGCCGAAATTTATGTGTTTATAAACTAAGTTATTAATAAATGTAATAATTAATTACTATACATCAAATAAATGTACAAACTGTGGTAAGTTTATATTTACAGAATTTACACGTAATCTTGTTATATATCTATGGTATTAAATCATATTATTTATATCTAATTTATTTTATTTCTTTTTTAGTTGCTATCGTCAATAATATTTCTTTGACATTTTATACTATAATTCCTACCATCGTAGAATCTTTACTCTATCCCGTGTCATAGAAAAATAGTAGCATTTTTATATGAAAAGAAAAAAAAGTGTCAGAAGTAGGAAAATGAATTTTTATTAATCGAGTTTCTTTCGGTTGTCAAAGAAAAGAGTTACTCGGTGGTTTTGTTCACTGTATCGCGACTCTCTTTCCTTTTTCATTTCCAAGAAGTGCGGAAAGCACGGGACGGGCGGAAATTCAAAGGACGTCGCGGTTTAGGCGGCCTCTTAAAATTTCAGAGACACGAGTTACAAAAGAAATTCAGTGGAAGTAGGCGGTCGGGTGCTCGAGTGCTTCGTGCCGTGCGTTCAGTCATGTTAGTACTTTGTCGAATCGTTGTAACCAGTTCTCAGCACCGTCTGACGTGTTTTAAAATATCTTTCGAAATCAAATACAAATAACCTACAAAAACTTTATTTTCCTATTAATTTAGTTTCTTCTTATAAATTTCTCTCAATGTTTCCAAAGTCAAAAAGGCGTGTCTTATACAATCGAGAAGTCGTTAACGTGATTCAAACGACGATTTTATCGCGAAGAAAATCTTCCTTCTCGTATAACCTCGTTAGTCGTTGAGTCAAATTCTAACCTATTCGAAGTCGTTTTAAAATAATTGTCCGAGGGATGCACAAATGAAAAAGGAGATTGCTATATCATTTAAGATTGGTATTAGTCTCGGGCAGCGAGATCGCGGCATGAGGTATTATATACTGCGAAACGTCTAATCTTTTCAGACGTTCTCGATCGGAACCTGGCACGACACGCAACGCACGCGAATCTCATTTCTGCGCGAGTGCGCGCGCAATCGACGGTCGCGTGTGCGTTACATCCGTTCTCGCTTCGAATTGACGATAGCGCGCGCTAGCCACTGTTTACGCTATTTATTTAGACTGCTTCGCAGTTTTACGTCAAACACATTTTGTGTTTCCTCTGTGAACGTGCAGTGGAAACTGACCAGGACCGTCGATATAAGCGAGGTACAAATAGCGTTCCGTATATTTTCATTTGTAAATGGATACGTTTTGAAAAAGTAGTCGGGGTGAAACAACGACGTACACAAAGCGGATTTTTTTTATTGCGAGATCAAATGGTACGAATAAATTTAATGGCGTCGATTTGCTATCGCTATTTTAGGCGTTGGTGGGAAAAAGAAAAAAAATAATTTCGATAGAAATAAAAGTGCGAAAAAATAATATGAAGCTGGGAAAGAGGAGGTTCATTTATTTTGTAGATCGAAATGGATCGTACTGTGAGTCTATTTGCTTAAGATGATTGAAACGGTGGAAAGTTGTTGGTGGTTCTCGAGTTCTGTTGCTGCCACGAAAATGGTCTAGGCTTGTCTCGTGAGAACGTGGACGAAGGTTTCAGTCTGACTCTCTGGCTCTCTATTTTGAATGGAAATTCTTCGCGGTCGAGTCACGCTGGCTTTAATGGAGGTTCAGAATCCCTAAAACCTTTATATTTGGCTCACCGGATTTTAAACATTCTTTTTCGTTTTACGTACTTTTTTTTTCCTCCTTGTTTTCATATTTTCAAATATCTCTCGCCGTTTTATCTACGATAAACATAGAATCCGAAATGCACAATCGTGCATGCCATTTTGTTTTTATTCTTTATTCGACATTGATGCGTAAATATTATAATTGGCAGCTTTTTTTTATCTTAAATTGCGATCTAAAAACTAATAATTGTTACAGACCAATTGGTCGATGTCAGTAATGTGTAGTGTGGATGCTGTTTAATTTTTGAAAAAATATTTTGGTCATATTCTTTATTGGTAATTGTCCATATCCAGAGACTGAAAGAAATTAAAATAATAAATATTATCTTTCAATATATATTTTTACAAAATCGATGTTATAGAAAAGGACTTAATTAAATATCTATCAATTAAAAATTGTACGATTTTTACATACAACTTCTTTTCTGCAATCAATCATTTTTAAGATATAGAGAAAAATACATCTTTCACTCCCAATTTTAATAGTTATTTGCATTTGCTAGATAATTATAGACAATTACCTCTAAAGAACTAAGAGCCAAAAATTTTTTGGAATGCTCTATCCTCCGTAAATTTTATTAAAATTTGTTGCTAATATTTGTCAAAATTTCACTCGGAGAGGATGTGGTGCTCGACTAATTAGAATGAAATTTAGAAAATAAAGTTACACGGTTTGTGATTTCCAAGTTGCGTGTCGTTCTAGAGGATTGACGTTGAGTTAGCAAAGTGACGCGCGATAAAATTCCCGCAGACAAGAGATTAATCGATGTTTATCCCAAAAGTAGCCAGACTGCTCGTTTGAAATTCGAACTATCCGGATAATTGAGAGTTCATCGCGGGACTCGCGTAATTGGCCTTCGAGTAAGTTAACTGCGAGGAACTTGGAGTTCTCGAGGACCTCTGCGCGTTTGCTAGCTTGTTTGATAGAAACGAAGAATTAAGCGTTCCTATCAGACGAAGTAGCGCGTAAATGTCTCTAACGATGCACTTACTTGCTGCGAATCTGCACCATTTTGTCTCGTAACATCGAATTTCGAGTGCACCAAGATTCTAATACACGAATTTTCTTCGTCTATTAATTTTAATTTCATTTTCTGCAGCATTCGTTAAGCAGTTCTAGTCAAAGACTCTGTTACTTAAATTGTTACTCTATTTAGATGCACAGAGAGGCTAGTAGTTGTAGTAGTTAATCTCACGATTATTCTCAACGATTAATTTCCAAATTATAAGCTGATAAGAAAATTGCTGTATTCTTATGTGTTTATTGTAAAATTGAAACGAATATATGATCATAAGAAATTGATAGGAACTACTGCACCAGTGTGCATTACCAAAGCGTTAATTTGTCATCCACATACTTCGTTTACCATATCGGCTGAAACTGACACCTGTTTTTCTGTCCTAGGGTGGCCCTCCATCGGGCATGGCGGGGAAAGATGGGAAGGTGGAGCCAAAAAGCGGGGACGTGGTGCGGCAGGGGTTCATGGTGAAGCGTTCGCAGAACAAGAAACGCTTCACCCCCGTCAACTACAAGCAACGCTGGTTCGTCCTGACGAGGCGCTACCTCGTCTACTATGACGGCGATGGAGAGGTATGTACCCTAGCTTTTTTTCCAATTTCGACCGCCACATTTTACCCTCTCTTACCTTGCCGTGTATTTTTTCCCATTACCGCCCCATTAACGGTTCCTCTCATTGCCCAGAAAAAAGCTCTGATCCATTAGTGGTCCAGAAGAAGGTCCCTTCTTGTAAATAAACCGATAATCGAAGCTGGCAGCTGTGGGGCCGACGAAATGTTTCTCCGTGTAAGCACAGTCTGTAAGTTGTACCCGGCTCCATGAGTCAAGTAGAAATTCCTCGAAAGCAAACGTTCGAAGAAAATTAGAAAGTCACCCTCTTTCCGCCGCTTCATCCCTGTAGTGTCAATTAGACGACTTGCAAGGCGATTTGCACTTGGAACGATGGCCGCCATTGTTGCCGCCCGCACTGGCGCCCTCTTC